GTATGGACTCCCCAAAGTCTACATGCTAGACACAAAGGCAAACCTGAAATTAACTGTCATCAGTTCTGTTCCTCGTTGGATTAAGGTGTTCTGCCCCACTGTCACTGAGTACCGAAGCAAAAGCAAATCCTCTCTGGAGGACACTAGCACCATTTCAAACCTCGTATCAGTATGCAGCATTCAAATTAAAGTACCAAAAGACAAGACTGAATCACCAAAAACAAAGAGGGGAGGAAAAGAGAACAGAAAGAGACCCAGAGAAGCCCAGATTTTGAATGTCAATGTGGTCTTTAAGGTATATGGATTAAGAAATTCAGCAAGATGAATTTGAGTAGAAAATTAGAAGCAATAAAAAGGAACAAAAGTGAGAATTATAATAAGACTGAAAAATACAATAACTGAAATTAAGAACTTGATGAGTTTACCGTAAACACAGCCAAAGAAAGGGTTAGTAAATAGGAGGAATTAGAGATTTTAGGATACACACAAAAAAAAGGACAAGATACAGAAAGAGCACAAGAGATTTTGCCATGGACTGAATGTCTGTGTGTCTCGCCTCACCACTGCCAAATTCACATGCTGAGGCCCTCCTGGGGACAATGTGATTGTATTAGGTGGGTGGAGCCCTCATGAATGGGATTAGTGCCATCATCAAAGAGGCCCTAGAGAGCTCTCTTGCCCTTCCGCCTTCCGAAGACACCATGAGATGATTGTGAAGCAGGAAGCAGGCCCTCATCAGATACCAAACCTGCCAGCTACTTGATCTGGACTTCCCCACCTCCAAAACTGGGAGAACTAAATTTGTCTTTAAACCACCCAGTTTATGGTGTGCGGTTATGGTAGGCTGAACTGAGATTTACAGGACCCAGGTGAGAAATTTAACATGCATGTAATTGGTGTCCCAAAAGAATGGATGGGGAGAGGGGAGAGGTCGGCAAGAGGGTGGAGGCGGTATTTGAAGCGATAAATACCGGTGCCACCTGACTAGTGGGTAGCCAAGACAGGTCTCCTTCCTTCCAATTTAGCACCTTTAAAACATTTTTTATTGGAACACATAACACACAGGAAATGTCGTTTAAGTATATTATTAACCCAGGTCAAGGTTAGGAAATAGGACATTGCTGGTACTCTAGAAGCTACTGCCCACCCCCAGATTAGCCTCCTGATTGCACCACACCTCCCACTAGAGGTAACAGCTACCTTTAATTTTATGATAATCATTTTGATTGTTATGTGAGTATCCCTAAACAGTACATTTTAGCTTTGCTTGCTTTTGAATTCTATAGACGGTACCATCCTGTAGCTATTCTTTTCTTCCTTCTTTTGGTCCATACTCTGTGAGATTTATTTAGTCCATGTTGATGCATCTGTGTCATTGTTTGATGAAGTATATACCTCATCTTTTTATCCATTTTCCTGTTGGTGGCCGTGAAGAGTGTATAAATCGTTATAAATAATCCTGCTTGGACATTCCTAAACCTGTACCCTAGGACACATGTGCATGCTTCTCTAGAGCACTTCTCTAGAGCACATTCCTGCCATGAGATTGCGGAGTTCTTAAGAATGCCTGTTTTGATCTTCTCCATCATGCAAAAACAGTAGTACTGGCTTGGACCCCCACCAACCGTGAGGAGTTCCCCAGTCCAGCACACTTTCCACCTCAGAATCACTGTGGCACGTTGGCCTCCCAGTGAGGGACACTCAACAGGCTTCAGCCCTGGGCCCCAGCATGGAAAGCTTATTAGTTACCTCATATGGGCCTGTGTCTTCAGATCAGTAACACCCCAAAACAAAAACCTGTGTGGAGAGAGAAGGCGGGGCTGGAGTCTGTTTGGGTCCTCTTTCTCAACGTAAGTATTCACACAAAACCCTGTCAAGGTCCTTTGACCAGAGAGTGCAAAGGCATAGTATCAGCACACTGCTACTAGGCGAGGGGAGCGTGGCATGGTTTTTTTCACCCAACTCCCCTAAGTCATTCCAGAAAATGGACAAGATGTGGACAAGGCTGGTGGCATTGCCTCCCCAGGGGTCTTCCCCTGCCTCGTGTTCTTTCTCTGGAGGCAGGGTTATTTTGGGTCTGGAGCCGTTTCATCTGTCAGACCCAGGGAACTGGCCCAATTTAAGGAAAAGAGATTCTGTCCACCAGCATCCCAGCTGTTTCATTGAGGCAGTTCCGCACAGGAATGTCAAGCGGGGCTGGACTCCTTAGGACAGAATCAGAAGGGCATCCGCAGGCTGGGGGTGAGGTTGGCCACAGATCTCCCTGTTGTGAGGGGCTACTCATCAGTCATGTTCGTATCTTTTTCCCATGGCTCTGAACATTTGAAAACACTGCTGGTGGTTGGCGCAGAATGCATTTCTGTACTCAAACTGTTTCAGCATCCTGTGGATGGCTCATTGAGACACAGATGGCCGGGGTTAAAACAGATGGTTGGGCCCCACCCTTGAGTTTAATTCAGCAGATCTGGGGCAAGGCCTGGGAATTGGCTTTTTCTGACAAGTTCCCAGGTGATGCTGCTGCTGGTACTGGTCTTGGGAGCACACCTTGAGAACCACTGGTCTAGCTCATCTTCAGGCTTCATTCAGTGCTATTTAGTGATGTAGATTGGAAAATCTACTCGGGATGAACCGAGAATTCCCCCAAGTGTTCAGCATTCCTGCTTGACATAAACTTGGTTCGTTCTACATCCTTAACTTTTAAGGTTTCTGCTCAAGAGCCCATGAAATTAAAAATTACCTTCTCCGCCGCATCGGTCCCACTGCCATAACACACAAGTACACATGGCGCACCATGGTGTTAAATTAAGGAGCTTAAATTAAAAGCACATTTCCCTGTTCAGTAAGTCATCTGTTGATCATTTGGCTTAATTAAAATTGGGTATATCATGTACTTACCCTGACTCCCATACTACCTCAACTGCGATGCTGCTTAATCTGTGAATTGATTAAAGGATCTATAAAATTAGCACAGTGCCTGGCTTGTGCTAAACTATACACACACACACACACACACACACACACACACACATAATGTAATAGAAGCTTGAAACTAAACATTGCTTTAAGGAAAACCTGAAGCCCTCAGGAGAGGGGTGAGTGGTTCGTTCATAAGCTATATGTACTGCTGTGTAGGGATGCAGTGTCCTGATGCATTAGGACTAATAACTGTTGGGACAGAGACAGTGATGCCCGTGCTCCACGCTTTGCTCCCACGTGGAGGACATGTCAGGCAGTACCTGTTTCGCTTGGTTGTTTTTTCGGAGCCATACACAGCAATCAACTTGGAAAATAATACGGAGGACACTGAGGCTAGCTTGCATCCATCTTGTTGAGTCCCGTGAAAACAGTCATGATTTGAGAATTGATTAGAATGACTTAGAATGATGTTTTGTGCCATTTAGACTATTATATTGACAGGGCGGGTTGCCAGGATCATCTGTGACATCAGGGTTTGTGATGATTCGTTTCTAAGAGGTCTAGTGGAGGAAATAATGTCCAAGTTCTGTGTCCTCCCCCCCCCACCCTCTAGACCCTCTCGTGGCCATGATTCTGAAAATCCTATGTAGCGTGAGGTTGAATCGGAGATCAGTCTTTCTGTGTCTTCCTGAAGGTCCAGCCTACCAGTACTTCCTGGGTCTCCTCTGGGGCATCAAGTCCCGGGGTTAGCACAGAGATAAGAAGGGGCTTTTCTCTCAAAGGTTTGTTTCTCTTTGGTCTGTTTGGGGTAGAGGGATCCATAAATACAAACCGTGAATACAGTTGTCTCAATTCTTGCACGGTAGCAGCTGTGACTGGTAGGTGAGCTCTGCAGTGCTTTTGCAGTGTTGAATGCCCTTGGATACCCATTTCCCTGGGATGTCATTGGTTTATGGGATTTTCACTTGTTCTGCAAGATTTGCGCACTTTGGTCCAAAGGTTTGTAAGCTCCGTGTAAAAGACAGTGGCTGAGGTGCTTGTTAATTTTGTCCCCGTGGGAAGGACACAAAGCTGGGTGGTCCTCAGCAGTGGGAAGTTGCTGGGTTTTGAGAAGCACTGAACCCAGCTTTAGGAATTCTGTTAAGAACTGTAGTAGGCTCCCACCATCTGTACGGCTCTCTGGAATACAGCAGGGGAGAAGACGTGATCCACCTGGCCTAATGCATAGTGAAGGGATAGGACATACGTGTAAATTGTTTATTACAGTGCAGTTACTGGGACACACTCTGCTCTGTCACTGCAAGCTGTCAGCTTTCTGCTGTATGGCAAGCCAAGGAGGGGAAGAACTTGTCTTGATTAAGAGAGAATGGGGAGGCTTCTTCGCGTTGGAAAAGTAGGGGCCAGCCTCCTACTTCCCCATCAGCTGTGCTGGCTAGTCAGTGTCTCAGAAGAGGCAGGACCAGTTTTAGTAAAAATAATGGTATCTTTCTAAAATTGATTCACATACAAGTAAGGCCACTGACATAATCACAAATTCAGACACTTCTCAATAAAATCTGCGCTACAACCATAGTACAAGCTGGGATATTACAACCATGGGATATTACAAACCATGTTTAAAATGCAGCCAGAGTTTTCAACTGCTCTTACTTATTTTTAAATAGTTTAGAATTAGAAAATTTTTTGATGGCCTCATTTCTAATAGAGCAAGGGAGATTTCTAGCTGCTGCCTATATGCAAACCACTCTTTAAAAAGTTCCCAGTTTATCAGAAATAAGTTGGGAAATAAAAAAATGCAAGTTTCTTCAGCATCAGGGTAACACTGGTATCCCATATGCTATGTATGGGGTCCCCAATTTTCGAGTAACTAAAATATATTTGGCACGGAAGCTGTACTAAGCAAAATGCAGTTTTTCTTGGATTCAGAGCATGCGGACCTCGGACGGCCCCTGGGTAGCTGCAAGCCTCAGGGGCCGCGCTAGATACTACCGCGCCTGGCGTGCGTGCGTGCGTGCGTGTGGGGGGGCGTTCCCCCGCGTCTCCTGCGTGTGGCTCCTGCTGACTCGTGTTCGTTTCCTCTCCAGCCCAGTGACTTCTCCGTGTCTCTGAAAGCATCAGGGAAGAACAAACATTTCAAGGTGCAGCTCGTGGACAATGTCTACTGCATCGGGCAGCGGCGGTTTCACACCATGGACGAGTTGGTGGAACACTACAAAAAGGCACCTATCTTCACCAGTGAGCACGGGGAGAAGCTCTACCTCGTCCGAGCGCTGCAGTGACGGCCCCGCCCACAGCCCCTGCCACCTCCAGGGCCTCGGTGCCACACTCACCTCCCCAGAGCCCGGCGGATCTGCCCCAGGAAGAAGCCGCGCTCACGGGCCCTCCGGCGGCGGGCTCCGCTCGGTCCGGTGGTTCATCGGTTCTTGGCTTCCTTTGCCTCGTTTACCTTTGCGTGCAGGTCGGTTCGTTTTTCCACTCGCCAACCCTTTGCCAGGCCGGCCCCTGACACCCACTTTTCGGCCTGCCCTCCTCCCGGCCAGGTTTCCAGAACGGGAGGTGGAAGAGGGCGATGTTCGATCACTTTACTCCTGCTCAACTGAAAACAGCCTTAGTCTGTTTAGATTGTTCGTGCTAATAGAAGCCCTCATTAAACAGACATCGGGCACAGTTGGAACGCACCGAAGCTGCCGTTAATTAAGTGAACTACAGAAAGCGGGGGCCGGACGCTCCTGCAGACGTCCCCGGCCCTGGGCCTGGCAGCCGTGGCTCAGTGCCCTTTGCCCTTGCGTGGCTTCCAGACTGTCCAGGGAGTGGACACGCGTGCTGGTCGCAATACCAGAACCACCAGATGAGAGAGTAGTGAGGAAAGTCCAGTGCCTTCAGGGCTATGCTTGCAATAAAAGAATTTCCTTGAAAGTCAGTCTGCAGAAGCGAGACCCGTGACTCAAAAAGACAGATGTTGTGGTTGTTAATCCCCCAAATGTGCCATCCGCATAGTGCTTTTTCCTCTCGCCCTTCGGCTTGTTTAAATTTCACAATTATGTATTTAATTCTCAAAATAATATGTATCCGTAGCCATTTGTTGACACTAATACAGATGATTAAGGAAAACGGCTGATCTTTGGGGAAGGGGAGCTACCGTACACTTTACACACACACACACACACACACACACACACCCCATATATATATATATATATACATATATATATAATATATATATATTATTTGCTTTACAGGGAATTTTTCAGGGTTTACAAGAGAATATGTGATTGGTAGTAAGAGACAGAATGTTTTATGAAGAAATTGCATTTTCTTTTTTCTTTACATTTGAATTTCTTTATAGTTTAAATATACAGTCTTGAGATGGCACATTCCTACAACTGAAGAAGGGGTCTTCAGACCTCCTAAACTTGCATACTCAGTTTTTTGGATATTGTAATAAAAAAAAAAGTATTATGACAAGACTATGTGTGTATTTATCTTTGGGAAAACTCAGAGTCCAATCTGGGAGAGTAATTGCTCTAGCATTTACTGGACGCTCAGTGCCTATGGGGAAACAATTTTTAGAGGAGTTTAACAAATTTATTATTTGCGTGTTTTCTTTTTCTACCACCACGTATTTTGTATGCTGAAATAATAAATTTTAATTAGTGAAACTCCAAGAGAAAACAGAATCTCAAGCTTGGTCGTAACTTTACTCTTTGGAAATTATTTGTTAAAAAATGTTGTACCAAACTTTGGTCAGCCACGCTGCTCAGCACCAGTTTTTCTCTCTCCACCCGTGTCTTACTTTCATTCTCTCAGTTGGTACACAAATCTCGAACAGTCACAATGTGCCAGGCGCTGGAAACAGTCACATCACAGAGGAGTTGTGCCTTTATGGGCTAACGACAGCGCATGTGTGTTCAGCACCCCATCAATGCCAGACTCGCAGACACAGCGTCCTCGTTCGTTCCTCATCACGACCCCTTGAGGTGGTCCTGCTCTCATCCCCCTTAAATAGATGGAGAAAACGGGGCACAAAGTAAACGCCCAAATGGCTGTTACATGGTCGGAGAGGGTTGCAAACCCAGAGAGCTGGCTTTGGTGCCACACCCTTCCAACATCAGCCCAGGGGGGCTTCCAGGAGAAATAAGCAATTTGGTGAGAGATTGCACTTAACCTATCATTCCTGTTCTCTGTGAGTTCATTGTATCTCTTTGTTGCCTTTGATATAAATTAGACGTTTGGGGTCTGGTACCTGGAGTTGGGGTACCCAGTTCCATAAGAAAATATATCCAGGTGAGTGCTTTAGACAAAGCACATCTGTTCTATACCTTATCCCTGGAAATTACAAGTCCTTCTGACTTTTTCAGGTCTCACTGTTGTGTGTTCCATTTTGAACTGATGTTAGAATCCCTCCATATAATGAAATGTCTGGATAGCTGAAAGACTTGGGTTTACACATAGCAATTAAGGAAGAAACAAGCAATTAAAGGACACAATACAGATAGACATTTTGGCTTCAGGAACTTCTCTAAGGCTTATAGTTAAAATTGACCATCATTTTCAATCTTGTCCAAACCACCATGGGAAGTCCTCCAGCTGCCTGGGGCAGATCAGGATTCATATTTATAAAAGTTCCAGCATCCCTGGACTTCCTGGCACCAGGTGGACTGGTGGAGGGTAGATTGATAGCCACAGTATGAGCCTGTTGACGGTGGGTAAGGCAGTCAAGGCAGGGTCCCCATGTGGTTTGGAGTGTGGACCGCTGATGCTCTGTCCAGGTGGCCCTTCTGCCATCACCTTCCTGCATGTCCGAGATTTCCCGGACAGATCTTGAGTTTCCATTCCCTTGCCTCTGCAAGTTGGACGGCAAAGGACAAGAGAGGGCAGTCATTTTATAGTTGTGTGACTCTGCTCATTTGTTTGCATTCAATGTGCCTTCATTTTTCAGAAACAGCCCTGCTGCGTTACGGCCCTGAACTACCAAGCCCTCACACGTGACGAGTGCCAGATGCTATTAAATCATGTTTCTAGGGAGCTAAAACTGGCCATGTTTTCTCCCAAAGTGCATCACAAATTATAGTCTTATAATTAGAATCTTTAGGTCTACTGAAACTCTGACATTTCAAACAAAGTATTTTCGGTGCCAGTACAATTTTGTCTTTGGTTTCTATATGTGAAGTGGTTTATAAACTACTTCTCTACCATTTCTGCCACCTGATATCAGAATGCCAAATTAATTTTAAGACCAAAGTTTGGAACTGTGAGAGCCTAGAAACGCTTGAAAGTATTCTTTTAAAATAAAACTTTCTGGTAAATCCAGGCCTGGTCTTGGGCACTTTCTCACTAGAACTCAGCCATAGGCGTGTAATTCCTGTAATTACCACTCGTGTCATTAATACAGTCGTTTCAGGTCGGTCTGACACCTTGCGGGGGTGCTGTCTGCTCTCCCATGAAGCAGTATCCTTCTTCCAGGCTTGGGAGCTGCTGCCACAGCCAAGTGTGGAAGTGCCCGGTTATCCTTATTAACCCTGTGACTTCAAGCGAATTAGCTCCTCTGAGTGTGTTTGCTTGTGGGCAAATGGGGCTGCTTGCCATCTTGGCTATTCCCAGGATTGTGTGAGAATTATCTGGGATAGAGCACTTGACCAATTTTGTAGGACATGCTACACAGCACTCATCAATGCCGGTCAGGCCGATTGTGTGTCACATAATCTACTTGACATTTTTCCTCATTTGTTGGAACTTTGGTGCCTCCACCAGCCATAGGCTTCCTCAAAGAGCCCAGCTGCCGAGGTCTGGCACCATGAGACCCTCAGCGTGGCCCCTACCGGCAGTGTCAGCGCCAATCCACCCCCACTCCTTAGAACTTAGACTCTTCAAGTATGCGAGGACGTGTGTTCCAAGAAACTCCTCATTCTAAATATGTAACCCATCTGTCATTAGAAGCCCAGGCCCCAAAGCCATACTTAGCTATACCAAGCACCACACTCACCTTACATTCTTACCGCAAGTAGTCGACAAATTCACATCCCTAAAAAAATCCTCCCTTGAGGAGCAACCATTTTTGTTTTCTCCTTGGCGTGGAGGTGGGGTGGGCAGGGTAGAACATCCTCCAAGTTCCTTATATTTCTTAGCCTGAGCTGACAACACAAGAGTCATTGAGTACTGGGCAAAAGTTGAATAGACCAACCAGTGTTCAGAAAACCTCTGCCCCCTATCTTAGCTCGAGCTGCTATTAAACAAACAAACAAACAAACAAAAGAACACCATAAACCAAATGGCTCATAAACAACAGAGATTGATTTCTCAGTTGTGGAGACTGGAGGTCCCAGATCAGGATGCCAGTGTGGTCAGGTTCCGATGAGAGCCCTCTTCCGGGATGCAGACATCCGACCCACCATGTTGTCTCCTCAAATGGCAGAGAGCCTGCTAGCTCATCAGGGCCGTAGTTCCATTTGTGAGGGCACCATCCTCCTCACCTAACTCCCTCCCAAAGGCCCCGCCTCCGAATGCTATCACATTGCGGATTAGATGTTAACATGAATTTGGGGGCAGTGCAAACATTCAGTCCCTAATGCCCTCTTCTCAACAAAAGCTATTCCCAGTGTCCTGAGGACACTGGCCGTTGCTCTTCTAAATACAGCTCACTCAGATCTAGAGGGCTTATAGTTCCAACCATTCACAAATGTTCTTTTATGCAGTTTTTCAACCACCAGATTCTAATTTGAAGGGGGGCAAAGGGCAGGCATCTGTATTTTTAACATGCTCCCTGGAGATTCTGATGTAGGTGGTTTGAGGCCTACGCTTTGGCTACTGTTCTAAGTCTACTTGAAACCTTTGGAAAAATCACCTGCTCCCACCCCCTTGTGTTCACAGTACTGACAACAACACACCTTCTATAGCATATCCTTTCTTTGGATCCTATACAGAATAATGTCAGACCTTGAATAACTAGAGTGGTCTTTTTTGAAAGAGTAATCTTTATTTGCCTTAACCTCCGTATGTATTTCTCATATCACAGCTCCTAACCGTACAAGCTAACTGGAAAGATTCATTCCATCCTTGGAGGATCATGTTACATGACAGGAAGTTATTACCGAAGATGGATGAGCCTGACAGCTGGTATAAAAGCTCACTTTACCAGATTTTTAAAATGCATGGCCTCCTCCCCAGGGGGTGGGCGTTTGGCCAACTCCTCAACTTGGGGACCAGGTTCTTCAGCTAAAGTCAGGAACCAGAGGACTAGAGCCTGGTACTCCAGCTCCTGCTAATGGGTGAGGGTGTGCGGCTTTCCAAGAATAGGTCATGGCCTGGGGAAACCCCAAGTCCAAAGAGGCAGTGGTCCTGTCTTCGTGGTTGTCAAACCCTTTTGGCATGTGCCCTGGGAGTAAGCCTGGGCCCTGGTGTGACCGCCACATTTGGAGACCTCTGTACCTTAATGGCCTCAGAAACACTGGTACAGAGCTGCACTCTCTGCACAACCATTTAAGGATATTATAGTTGTCAGAGATTATTATGCATGTAGATAAGGTGAACTGCTTTGCATAATAATGCAACATGCTTAGAACCTTTGTACAGCTTGTTAAATGATGTGAATGAAAAGGGAAAAATAGATTAATATGCTAAGTTGTTATCTAAACGAAGCCCAAGGTATCCCAAGATTCCAGACCACATCCGCTTGTAGAACCACAGAGGCACTGTATTCAAATGATTTCAACCTCCAACTCCCATCTAGTCACAGATCGGATTCAGATGCTAACGGTATTCATTTC